ACAGTAGGGATGTAATTCATCACCAAGTTTCTTCTTGAAGGAAGCCATATGTACATTTAATAATTGTCCTGCCACTGCAAGAAACTCTTTAGAAAGATACCATTTTCAAAGCTTATTTGTAATTCAGGATTATGAGGTTGTTCACATGGGCTAAAAGAAATGGCCCCTCTCCATTTTGAACCCTACCTGTTGAGATGACACACATGGCTGAAACAGGAGGAAAACACACCCAAGCCATGTTTTGGGGCTTTACACCAGAGTAAAAAGCATCCTGGTGTGTCTTATTTCAACCCAGAAAGAGCCAACTTTCATGCCAATGTGTGAATTACTTGCCGGCGTGGAAGTGGTCAGGAGCAAGCACCCTGAGTTGGGTGAGCCAGCAGTGCCATTGCTGGCCATAGTATTTTTTGTTGCCCACCTGTGAATAGATCACACAAGCACACAAGTGGGCAGATGGAGCATCAACCCATTGCATACCCCATGGAGCAAAATGATGACAAACATGTCAAGTTACAACAATACAATGGATTTAATAAAACCATTAACAAACTAGCCAGTTCGATGCCCCCAGGGAATGCAGGTATGTACAGGGAGGTACCATGATTATAGGGTGCCAGTTGTTACTGGGCACACCAATTAGCCATACAGGCAGTCGATCGATTGTGCGATCAAGTGGTTGGTTGTGGGGGGCATTCAATGGAGAGATGGATGGGTGGAATTGGGATGATCAGCAGCTTCTGGTGGAGCATCTTGTGCTTATGCACATGCATGTGTGATGTAAAGGGGAAATTAATGGCACAGTGCAGCTTGTAGCTGAAAATGCTCCATTTTGATGGGTCCTTCTTCATGGTACAGACTACACATCAGTTGTCAGGCCATTGTGGGAGCCAGTGGTGTGATCAGCGGAGTCTCCCTGGAAAGCTCCAGGAGTAAGCTGGCTTTTCTCCTTTGTCTGCTTTTGGCCCTAGTCTGCACAAAATTTGTATATGGTTGTTTTGCACAGAAAACAGCATTTTCTGTGCACTCAATGTCATTTTCTGCACAGTGCTACAAATAATTATGTCTTATCTCCATCCCTTTCCCATTCAACCTACCCGTTTTCTGGCTGGGTGCCCTTCACCACAGCCATTCAGTGTCCAGGGAGGATGGGAAGAGAATGAGGGGCAGTCAGCAGCCAGCTGGCTCTATTCCTGCAGCCACCTGCAAGAAGCTGATGTCATCCTCCAGAACGTTTGATGGACCCCAGGGATGTTCAAGGAGATGCCTTTTTCTTCCTGCAGGCCACTGAATGCATGTGGAGAGAAATGCTCATACAGAATAAATATTGGTGACTCAGGGAGGGAGTTGTAGTGGATGGAGGATCTCAATTCCTCCATCCACCATGATCAGAAAAGTTAAATATACAGGCATAACTTTCATATACTCTTGTGTATGCTACTAACATGATGCTGGCCTGTCTCACAACCTGATACAAACAGAGGATGGGCATGAATACATTTTGCCCTGATGGTTGTAGTCCATGGAGACAACAGGACATAATAATCCTCAGACATCAGCAGCTTCTTATGTGGACGCAGGGCCCACATAATGAAACTTTCATGGATGAGGGTTTATATCATACAGGGAAAGTTTTCTACAGCACTTCAGGCTTTGTGGTGGAGTAGGGGTGGGAAACCTCAAACCCTAGGGTACCATTCCAGCCTTCTGGGGCTTCCCAGAAGATCAAGCCCTCTTTCCCACGATGCCACGATTTAGTTGTCTCCCCATTTATATGTAATTTCCATGTTTATAATGGTTGAAATGGGAAACTGGAAGTGGGCCCTGGGAACATCTCTGAAATGGAATTTGGCCTTCAGGCTGAAAGAGATATTGGTCAGAATCCTGTGGGTGACATATGTAGGCCTAAGTGTGCGACACATGCAAAGTGAATTTTGATGGTAGCAGACTACTGCATATGGAATCATTACATATGCAGTAGCACAATAAAGTACACATGTGAATGCTTATCACCTCTGTACCTCTCTGTGTGTTGTGCATTGGGTTTGTGTGACAGGCTGTTGGTCATGCACATTAATCAATTATCCACATATTTGTACCACATTTGTATTTTGTATGGGGGTTCTGTAATGCCAAGACAATGTGACTGCCCACAGATGTTTATACTACAATGAAGTGATGTAGGATCTCATTCAGGGACACCATCTTTTTGTTATGAGAAAGGTATGAGAGAAAGATGTTTATGGTGCCATGGAGAGAACAGGCATATCTGCACAGTGGCTCACCACACAGAGGTCTGTATAGGCAGCTACAAGGAGTCTTCATACATCAGGAACCATTTTATTACATCTACCCCCAACATAGTCTTTTGTCATGGGAGGTCACATCTAGTTTCTGATCTTGCATTTGAAAGGGTGATGTGGGATGATGGGTGTTCCTCTCCTCTCTGAACACTTTCTCTATGTCTCCTCCCCTTCTAAC